TACTACTACTTGTTTGGCCATGGATTTACCACTTGAGTAAATCAGGCATTATTACAATGGTTGATGAACTTTAGAGAACTGGAAGGTTTGATTGTATGTTAGATTACACAATTGAAGGAATTCAGTTTCACTGCATAACACTTATTGGGTTGATGCATGTAAATGTGGAAAGGTTTTCTCACTGGCAGATGAGAACTTGTCTGTTCGTAAAATGTCAAGGTTCTGGACACAATACTATTGTGAAACATAAAGTTTCAGCTATGACCAACTGCAAATGTGAATATTCTACAACCAAAAGTAACTTGTAAGTAAAACTTAATTGGGGATTTCTGGCCTCAGCTTGTGTGCAAGTTTTCTTTTGTATGGAGGTTTCATTCATCTTTGGCCCTAAGCATTGTATCTAATAGTAATTTAAATGGATGACTATGTCACACTCGCTCAGAATGTGTTCCAGCACACTTGATCTATTCAAATACATTAAATATGCATGTTTATTCATATAAGTCAACAGTTTACTTGTAGTAGTACTAATGTAGCATTGCTTAGAGCTGTAATATATTTCGGTCAAACTGATTTTCTGAGTATGATGGGATAGGTCAACTGAATAAAAGAAGATTATACTGTTTAAATCAAACATTTCTTACTTAATAGGTAAAGTCATATTTACCCACATGACTGGTCATTGTCATTCAAACATAAGGATGGCTGCAATCTTGATGTATCACCTGATCTACACTACTTAATACATTCTTACAATAAGTGCAGCTATACATCCCATGGTCAGAATAAGTGTTAATCCCAGAAAATAACAAAGGATAAAAAGCTGCTAAGTCAAAATCGACTAAATGACTTTCCTGACCACATGTAATATGAAAACTGTTCATACACACACACACACAATAACTAACACACTTCAAATACTATTATACTGAGATAAAAAAGATAGAAAATACAATCCTTTGATAAGAAATAATCTAACATACAGTAAGTTCTATATATATGTATAACCTGGCGAGTTGTGCCACTCGAGCACTATTTTGATGGTGGTGTAAGTGATTGAAAGTTGAAGAATGTAGGCCATATAATTATTGTGAATTTGAGTGATCAAACATTTATGAAAAACAGGAGATACGTTGGTCTTTTTTCATAGCTATGTAAGAGCTAATAATATTGGATTTAAAATTAAAATTAGTTGTAAACTGTGTATATGTTAATAAATTACTGGTAGCTTAAGTATTGCTACAATTTAATAATTGAATTTATGATGTAGGCCTAACTAGTTAGTTCAGAAACTACAGGATTGTTGATAGCGGAGGCAAAAAACAGCACCTGTTAATTTGCTAATCTTCGATATTTTTTGTAATAATAAGTCGTTCCTGGTACCATATCTTGGAAAACTTGACGTCAAATCTTAGAATTTTTAGGCATATCTCAACGTCATCATTATGATCCGTAGCTCTCTCTACTTAGCATACAAATTACAACATACAAAATATAGTTATATCAATATTATTCAGTTTACTGAGGCTTAGACTTCACAGATTGATAAGAGCATACTGTAAAAATTTAATTTTATACAGTCTTTTATTCAACACCATTGCGTGACAAACACGTCTAAAACTGTTTGACAACTAAATAAGGGTCGACCATGACTCCTTTGTTATCGTGCAAGCCTGTGAATCTAAGAAGCTAGGGTTCGCGTCCTGATGTCGAAAAATTGCTGCCTGTACTTTGGGCCATGGTTCTATTATAAGAGTGATGATCAAATCTCACTATTCGATTAGAGTACTTCAAGAGTTGGCGGTGGGTGCTGTTGACTAGTTTCTCTCCCCCCCCCAGTCATCTGTTCAAAA